TGAGAACCAAGCAAAAGGGATCTCCTCTTATAAAACCATCAGATCTCATGAGACTTATTCACTACCACGAGAACAGTGTGGGGCAAACCACCCCCATGATTCAATTATCTCCCACCGGGTCCCTCCCACAACACATGGGAATTATATGGGAGCTACAATTCAAGACGAGATTTGGGTGGGGACACAGCCAACCCACATCAATCCCAGTTTTACAGATGAGTAAATAGAGACTCAGAGAGATTAAGCAATTTGCCCAGTCAAGTAGCTACAAGAGGCTAAGGCTAAGCTTCCAATTCTGGTTTATGTGACTCCAAAGCCTTGAGTTCTCCTCTCTAAATAGTGGTTCTTAACCTTTTTGGGGGTCACCAACCCCACACAGAATCTGACATCTATGGACACTCTCCTCAGAAAAACATGTGCAGTCACAAACTGTTTCTGGGATTCATGGACTCCCTATTCCAGCCCAAAACCCCACAATTCAATCCTGGTGCTAGCCACTCAGTGTTAGTGCAGACCCCACAGGTGAAGAGCTTCCATATCCACAAGACCGCCCTGATTTAGATGCCAGTTGAACTTTGGGGATCCCCAGGCCACCATGCTTCTGACCAACTGGCTGCAAATTTGGGGGTTCCAAGGACCCCCTCAGGTTCAATAATTTGTTAGACTCAGAACTCTGGAAAGTATTATACTTACAGTTTTATCATAAAGGATAAAGGATAAAGATTAGGACCAGCCAATGTAGAGACACATAAGACAAGGCTTGGGAGGATCCCAAACAGTTTCTGTGCCCTCTCCAGCTAAAATCAGGGAGCATCACCTGCACCCTCCCCACTGCACCTCAATATATTTATCAACCAGGAAGCTCCTCCAAGCTTTGGCGTCCAGAGTTTTTATTGGGGTTTCATTACATAGGTATGATGTGATTGAACTGTCTCCACCTCCAATCCCTCTTTGGGAGGTTGGGCCGGTTCAGGGCTCCAGATCTCTAATTACGTGGTTGGTCTTTCTGGTGACCAGCCCCATCCTATTGTCTCATCACCTACCAAAGTCCAGGTGTGATTCATGAACAACAAAGACACTCCTAATTCTTGGGAAATTCCAAGGATTTAGAGCCTCCCTCCTAAGAGCTGGGGACGAAGGCCAGCCAGATTCTTTACTAAACAACACCCAGAAACCCCTCTACAGGCTTCTGCCAACATATAAGACAAGGCAAAGTTCAGGCTTGAACCTGCCTCTTCCAGAAGCTTACCCTGTAGATGCACACAGGTAGCAGCACTGGGTTCTGTGGGGCCTGAAGGTTGAGCAATTTGCGGGGTGGGTTAGTGGGTGGGAAATCTAAGAAAAATATGACAAAATTATGGATGCAAACATAGGCATGAAGGAAGGGGCCCAAGCAATGGAGGGGCCTGAAGCTGGGCTGCATCAGCCTCCTGGTCAGTCTGCTGCTGCCTGGTCAGGTGTGAAAAGGTGGAGCTGCAAGGCGATTTATAGGCAACGTTTACCATTGCAAAGGACTGGGGGAAATGCCCATTCAGAGGGAACATTTAAATAAATCACTGTCTATACACGTATTGGAATACCCTGCAGCTATAGGAAAGAGTGAGGGACTTCTTTATGCCCTGACGTGGAAAGACCTCTAAGATGTGTTGTAAAGTAAAACCAGAATAGTGTTAGAGGAGGCCTCCTTTGTGTGAAAAGAGAAGGGAAATCCCGTACATTCGTATTTGCTTGTATACACATAAAGAAACTCTGGAAGGTTCTTAAGAACAGCATGTGTGTGTATGTGGGGAAATTGGGGAATGTGTAAATGGGGGTGTGTAGAAAGCAGGCTTTATACTGTCTATTTTTTTTTTAATTGACCTTATCTATCTACTTAAAAAGTTAGAGAAGGAGACCAGGTATGTTGGCTCATGCCTGTCATCCCAGCACTTTGGGAAGCTGAGGCAGGAGGGTGGCTTGAGCCCAGGAGTCTGAGACCATACTGGGCAATATAGCAAGATTACGTCTCTACAGAAAATTTAAAAATTAGCCGTGGTGGCCTGTGCCTGTAGACCCAGCTACTTGGAGGCTGAGGCAGGAGGATCATTTGAGACCAGGGGTTCAAGGCCGCAGTGAGCTATGATCACCACTGCACTCCAGCCTCCTTTGGGTAACAGAGCCAGATCCTGTCTCAAAAATAAATAAATAAAAATTAAAATTAAAAAAAAAATAAATTGGAGAAGGCAAATTCACCCTGCCCTCACCACCCTGTGCCTCCTCCAGGCTCCCGCTGCTCCTCTCCCTGTTGGCGTTGTTGCTGCTTCTGTTGGTGGGGGCCTCCCTGCTAGCCTGGAGGATGTTTCAGAAACGGATCAAAGGTGAGTTGGCTCCCCACACCCCTCTGCCCCACCTGGGGTGGTCAGGCCTTGACCACAGACACTCATCTTCAAAGCTATGTCCTCGTCTCACAGTATTGCTATCAAATGCGACACCCAGACCGCACACCCTGGGTGATCCTACAGGGCAGGTCCCAGAGGAGGCATCCTTGTGCGTGGTGGTTACAGGCTGTGGCTCCCTAGCAGGAGGCATTCCCATTGCCAGCCCAAGGGTGGTTGGCCCATGAAGCAATGATCCTTTTCTGTTTAAAACCCTGGCATGGTGACCTGGGTACAGTGATGTGCATCTGTAGTTCCAGCTACTCAGGAGGCTGAGATGGGAGGATTGCTTGAGCCGAGGAATTCAAGACCAGCCTGTGTAACACAACAAGACCCCCATGTCTATACAATAAAATAAACCCTTGCATGATCTCCCCCACCATAAAAAGTCCAGGTCTCCCCAGGAGTCACGGCCCTCCACGATCTGGCTCTACCCACCTCCCTCTCCCCATCCGTGCACCCCGGAAACCAACTTCTTGTATCTCCTTTAATGAGAGCCTCAACCTCAGCATCTCTTCTCCTTCTGGGTTTGCTCTGGACACCTGGAGGGCCTCCCCTGCCCTCTCTCCCCAGCTTGCTCCCAGTGGACTCACGGTGGTCCTCAGACTTTCTTTTCTCTGGGATCTTTTCTTTGACTCCAAAGAGTGACTTGGGACCCCTCCTGACTGTACCTCTGCTGTCACAGCCTTTTGGAAACCAGACTATCATTGCTGGTGTCCTCACCTGTCTTCCCACAGGCATGTGCTTCAAGGAGGTACAGAACCAATATTCATCAAATTAATGTGTTACTCAATATCTCCAGCCACAGTGGGCACCCCAGGGGGCTCCAGGCAACCTCTAGTCCAGCTGCCCTCCTCTGAGCTCAGATTAAAAGAGAGAACAGAAACTCTTGGCACTCAGTAAGTAGGTGCTCAATAAATACCTGATAGGCGAATTGAATAAGCACAGGAACAGAGGAACAAGTGGAGGTGTGGCCACCAGTCCTCTAGGAGAGCAGATTCCTGGCCAAGGTCAAGTGTAAGCCTGAAACTTCCTCCCTGTTTGGAGAGTTCAAGATTCCATGGGCAGAAGATTCTCAGGGGAATCTTTGTCCAAAGCCTTCCAAGACTGCAAAGTGAGACTGGGGTGGGAAAAGATGGGGTTATCCTGTCCCACTCATAGCTGCAGGATAGGCTGGTGCATACTTGGTGGGGGGCACTGCTCACACGCACCCCCAATGCTTCCCGTGGCGCCCAGGCTTTTGGGGGAGAAATCAGCTATAGTAGATCTGTACAGGGTGTATGGGAAGAAAATCACTTCCTCTTTCCCGTCTGCTTTGCTTGTGTCATTTTCTGGCAACCCCAGTCTAAACTTCAGCACTCACGTGGACGCCACTGGGTTGTTTGAGTTCTGAGTCCCTTTCAGTTTCCTTGTGCCCTTTCACCCAGAAAGGCTCTCACTCCTCCCTTAAGAAGGATATATGTGATTATTGTAGGAAATTTGAAAAATGAGTAAAAGCACAAAGAAGGAAATAAATCCCCCATCATCAATGATAACTAAAAACCCCACCACCTAGAGAAAACCAGGCACTGGCACCTGAGGTGTCTTTCCAGTCTTTTTTTCTATGCCTTTATAAATTCATCTATGATTTCTTGTTTTGTTTTCTTTTTCTCTTTTTTTAAATTTTGAGACAGAGTCTCACTCAACAAACTCTTGAGTTCCTACCATGCTTCAGGCCTGAAGGGATAGGTCCCCAGGGCTGAAGTCTCTAGGGAAAGGCCTTTTCCCAGAAAGCTTGTAGGACCTTCCATCCTGGCCCTTGCTCCAGGATTCAACCTCCTTCCTGTCCTCTTATCTCTAGCTGGTGAGCATTCGGAGCTGTCCCAGAACCCCAAGCAGGTAAGGGGGGCTTCAGCAGGAGGTGTATCAGGTGGCTGGGTGGAGGGTACAGAGGATGCTGGGGAGTTGGACAGTCCCATCGGCCAATGGAGGATGGATGGTGGATGCATGGAGCGGGGAGCTCACCCAGAGCAGGACAAACGATGCTGGGAGATGTGGTCACTGGGTCTTGTTCTGAGTCCTGGCCAGCCTGTCCCCTCCCAAACAGGGCAAATGGAATGAAGGGAGGCCCTCCCAGCGGAGCTGACCTGGGGAACATTCAACTACTGGACAGAGTGGGGTGGAGGCAGGAAGGGGAAGTGGGGGCTGAGGCGCTCAGAGCATAGAGGAGGGGGAGACACGTGCAGACATGCAGGGACAGAGGCTGCAGAGCTCCGTGGACACCCACCTGGGACCTCCCGCCCACCCAGGCTGCCGAGCAGAGTGAGCTGCACTACGCGAATCTGGAGCTACTGTCGTGGCCTCTGCAGGAAGAGCCAGCACCACCAAGAGAGGTGCAGGTGGAATACAGCACCGTGGTAGGTGCAGGAGCCCGGCTTCTGGGCATGAGGCCCCTGGCTGTGCCAGGGCACCTCTAGGGGGGTGGGCAGAAGGGGAAGGAAGGGGTGAGCTTGGTGATCTTGTGCCTGTCAGGGATGGGGACACACGGAGATGGAACAAGTGTTGATTTTGCCAGAGTAGAGGTCCTTAGAAGGGCTTGGTGTCATTGCAGCTGGGTGGTTAGGGGGGTGGCCAGCAGCTATGGCTCTGAGAGTCCGTGAAGTCCAGCATGGGTTAAGCACCTGCTGTGTATCATGCACCAAGGTGAGAAACTGAGACTTCTCACTGTTTTGGTCTCATCATCTCTTTGGCATCAACTCTGCTTTCCAGGTTTTTGTCTGTGACCCGCTGTGGGTCAACCCTTGGGCGCAGCCACCTTCAACTGGGATAACGGGATGGGGGCTGCCTCCCTGGGTCATGACTCACCTACTAGTGGGAGAGTTCAAGCAGAAGCTGGGGGTCACTTGGCAGAGAGGATCGGGAGAGATGTAAGCATCAGACAGGGATGTGTAAAGAACCCCCCAGGCCTGGGAGCTGAAGGGGCCCCTCAGACATGCTGTGTGGTGCCATGGAGGGCTGGCACCAGGGTGACAGGGGACACTGTTGCTGGTCTGCCTAGAAAAGTGGCCCAACTCCCTGGGATATCTCCAGCCTGGTACCATTCTCCCCAGGCCGCCGTTTTGCACCGGACAGGGGAAGAGGGGATCCAGTCCTGCAACTGCTGGGTCCTCTGATAGCCACACCCCTCCCCAACCTCCCGCCAGCTGTTAGAATGAGGATAAGGATGGTCTGGGGACCCAGGGTCCTGGATGGCTCCTGGCCAACTTTCTTTCTTTCTTTTTTTTTTTTTTTTTAAGGCAGAATCTTGCTGTGTCCCCCAGGCTAGAATGCAGTGGCACAGTCTTGGCTCACTGCAATCTCTGCCTCCCAGGTTCAAGCAATTCTCTTGCCTCAGCCTCAGCCTCCAGAGTAGCTGGGACTGTAGGCACATGCCACTGCACTGGCTGATTTTTGTCTTTTTAGTAGAGACAGGGTTTCACCATGTTGGCCAGGCTGGTCGCAGACTCCTGACCTCAAGTGATCCACCCGCCCTGGCTTCCCAAAGTGCTGGGATTACAGGATTGAGACACCACACTCGGCTAGCTCCTGGCCAAGTTTCTGAGCGCCCCTGTGATGGTCAAGCCTGACTCCTTCCTTGCGTGACATGATCTTGCGTCCACAAAGCTGCATGGCCTGAAACCAGCAACATCTTTGTTGTTCTAACTTGTTGTCTCATGATCTAAAGTGGATGGGGCATGGTCTTACTCTTCTCCCAGCCCCCATGGTACAAGTTGGGACTCATGCCCACAGCACAGCCAGTTAATCAGAGCTGCAGGGCCAATGTGGTACCCCTGTACTGGCTTCACCTCTACCTAGAGAACTAGGGGTCCTCTGCAGAAAGGGACCTCAGAAAGGGACCCATGGCTGCTTCATTGTGAGAACTTTTCTGTTCTTTTCTTTTTCTTTTTTTTTTTTTTTTTTTGAGACAGAGTCTTACTCTGTCACCAGGCTGGAGTGCAGTGGTGCAATCTTGGCCATTGCAACTTCTGCCTCTCCGGTTCAAGCGATTCTCCTGCCTCAGCCTCCCAAGTAGCAGGGATTACAAGTGCCCACCACCATGCCCAGCTAATTTTTGTATTTTTAGTAGAGACTGGGTTTCACTATGTTTCCAGGCTGGTCTCAAACTCCTGACCTCAAGTGATCCACCCGCTTGGCCTCCCACAGTGCTGGGATTAGAGGCGTGAGCCACCGCGCCTGGCCGCAAGAATATTTCATTAAGAGAAGCACAGAGGTGTCTCAGGGGAGCCCAGCCAACTCTCAGGGCCTCAGTTTCTTCTCTGTAGAATGGACCAGGCTGGGTCAGCCCCAAGGAGTCCAGGGAGCCTCCTGCCTCTGATGCTGGGGATGTTGTGGTGTGGCTTGTGCAGGTGGGGAGGAGCAGGGTGGACAGGATCATGAAGAGAAAGAGGCCAGGACAGTAGATCCTCTACAGTGAGGCCTCCCCAAGGCCCCTCAGGTGTGCTCCCTCCTCTGTCCTATGCCGGGGGTCCTTCCTTCCCCTGCTTCTCCCGAGCCTCCAGTTTCTCGGTTTCTCTCTGCAGGCCGCCCCCAGGGAAGAACTTCACTATGCCTCGGTGGTGTTTGATTCTAACAGAGCTGCTCAGAGGCCCCGGGAGAAAGAACCAGATTCACATTACAGTGAGATAAAGAAGACATAGGCCTTTGTCCTGCCTCACTGTCCGGAGGTCTCATGGGCCCCAGGAAGTCCAGGGATGGCTCCCTTATCCCTGGCCCACGTCCTTCTCAGCCTGCCCTTGACGACAGTGACCAACAGACAGGCAGCTGGGTTTCCCAGGCTGTCCCTCTGTTGCCATCAGCTCGACTGGCTTCCCTGAGGGCCAGCAGGGCTGGGGACTCCGGGGAGCAGCAGGAAGCACTCCCAGTCACCAGCACCTGTCGCTCCTTTCTCCTTTGCCCCTGCTTCATCCCGGCTCTGTGTGTGGAGGACGAAGATCATTCGCGTGGCTCCAGGAAAAGATGTGGCTTACGTAGGCGGCACCTGCCAATAGCTTTGTCAATCACAGCCCCACAGGAATGTCTGGAATTGCTTGGGAGCTGGGGAGAACTGTCAAGAAGAGCCAAGGGAGTGCCAAAGCGGAGATTTATTCACGTGGGGGCCATGGCGGGGGGACCCACTAAAGATCAAGATCAAAGATCCTCCCCACCTCACAGACAAGGAAACTGAGGCCAGAGGGAGGAGAGAATTGCTCATGGCTCCAGGACTGGTGGCAAGTTTCTCTGGACTCCTAGGTTTATTTTTAATATGAGATATAAAAACAGTTTCAAATATCTTATTAAGGGAAAAGTAAAAAGTTATTTAAACAATGCTTGCTATGTGTCTGCAATCCTCTGCTAAAGAAAGCTCCCAGCTTTGATACCAGATGAGTGCAGAGAAGCCTTGTGGGTGCAGTGGGTTGGGGACATCCTAAGAGAAGTCCTCACTGAGTGGGAGAAGGTGGGTCACAGCTGCTTCTCACCATGATGTCTGTTTGTTTGCTTGTTTGTTTTTTGAGACGGGGCCTCGCTCTGTCCCCCAGCCTGGAGTGCAGTGGTACCATCACAGCTCACTGCAGCCTGGAACTCTTGGGCTCAAGTGATCCTCCTGTCTCAGCTCCTGAGTAGCTAGGACTACAAACATGTGCCGCCATGCCTGACTTTTTTATTTTTTGTAAAGATGGGGTCTCGCCATGTTGCCCAGGCTGGTCTTGAACTCTTGGGCTCAAGCGATCCTTTTGCCTTGGCCTCCCTGAGTGCTGGGATTACAGCATGAGCCACCATGCCGGGCAGTTTCCATGCTGGAAAACACAGCAGTTTTCTTGTCGGGAGATTTGAAATTTGATGCAGAGTTGTCCAGGCTGTCTTGAGTCTGTGGCAGCAGCCAACAGCTTTATGTTTTTATTTTTTCATTTTAATTTTTCTTTTTTAGAGGCAGGGTCTCACTGTGTTGCTCAGCCTTGAACTCCTGGAGTTGTGCAACGTGGACTCCTGGATCTGAAAGGTGAGGCTGCCATGAAGCCTATAATGTGGGTTGGGGCTTAGACACGCACCTGGTACGGAGGGGAACTCAGAAATAGTTGTTGACTTCGCTTGAATTGAGCCCGGTCACGTTCCAGTCCCGACCTGCAGTAACCCTTCTTGGGGTCCTGTTTGCAGAGACAGAATTCTGCAGGGTGGTTTAAAACACAGAGGCACATGGCACCAGACTCACTCTAAGACTCAAGGCGTTGTTTGAAGGACCCCTTCTCCTCAACGGGGTGAACTTCAATTCTCTAAAATAGTATTTTCTCTTTAATTCTGTCTGAATTTCTATCAATTGGAAGTAAGTCCTCTGTAAAATGCAAATGTCTAGGCTATCAGTTGGTTATCAATGCCAGCTGCTATAACAACCACGACCTCCACAATAAAACTGGGTGGAGTGGCCAGGGGAGGCTGGGACAGGAGGGTATTGCAGCCACAGCCACACACTGGCCCAAGCCCCCTGCCCCGTCAATCTCTAAGGCTTGGTGGAGGAATAAGTTCCCTGGTATAAACCACTTGCCTTTTGGAAGGTGGCAGCCCCTTGGGAGTCCTTCATAGTCCTCCTGCCAGAGAGTTTCAGTTGCTACCACCCCCATTCTCCAAGGAGGCCTCATAGCAGGAGGGAGTAGGCTGGCTCGAAGTAGTCTTCCAGAAGTCTTACTGGCCAACTCCCTTCCAGGAAGCTCTGCATACCAAAGGATACTGGGAAAGACCATCTTTGTCAAACCAGAGACAGGGTCTTCCTCTGTTGTCCAGGCTAGAGTGCAATGGCACAATTATGGCTCACTGCAGTTCTCCTGCCTCAGCTTCCTGAGTAGCTGGAACTACAGGCGTGCGCCACCACACCCAGCTAATTTTTTTGTAGAGACAGGGTTTCATCATGTGACCCAGGCTGCTCTTGAACTCCTGAGCTCTAGCAATCCACCCACTTTAGCCTCCCAAAGTGCTGGGATTGTAGGCATAAGCTACCATGCCCTGCCCAAACTCAAAATTTACGGAGAATATACAGTGAAAAGTCAGTCCCTTTATTATTTCTGTCACCAGAAATCCAGAGATAAATAAGGTTAATAGTTTCTTATGTTTCTCCCCTGAGATAGTTAATCATCTTGCACATATATACATGTATATACAGCCTACATGTCTATGCTCCTCCCCATTCCCATATATGGGGATATCCTCCCCATTCCCACCATTCCTGCACAGTAGCATTTTCATGTCACAACCATCTTGGAGATTATTTTACCTTCTTCTATAAATGCTGCAGAACATCCCATAACATTCCATTGTTTGTGCCATGACATACGCATGCCATTTCGCACATTTTCATAGAGAGCTGAAGGGTAAAGTTGGAGAAATTCAAAGTCTGTGCACTTGTAATTTTGATAGATATTGCCAAGTGTACGGCATCTTTAAATGGCAATCTTTGGCCGGGCATGGTGGCTCACGCCTGTAATCCCAGCACTTTGGGAGGCCGAGGCAGGTGGGTCATTTGAGGTCAAGAGTTCGAGACCAGCCTGGCCAACATGGTGAAACCCCATCTCTACGAAAAACACAAAAATTAGCTGGGTGCAGTGGCATGCACCTGTAATCTCAGGTACTCGGGAGGCTGAAGCAGGAGAATCGCTTGAACCTGTGAGGTGGAGGTAGCGGTGAGCCGAGATCATGCCATTGCACTCCAGCCTGGGCAACAGAGCAAGACTCCGTCTCAAAAAAAAAAAAAAAAAAAAAAAAAGAAAGAAAGAAAGAAAGAAAAAAGAAAGAGAAAGAAAAAGAAAAAGAAAAAAAATAGCAATCATTTTATTTATGTATTTATTTTTTGAGACAGATCTTGCTCTGTCACTCAGACAGAGTACACTGACAGAGTGCAGTGGCTTGGATATGGCTCACGGTAGCCTCCACCTCCTAGGCTCAAGCAATTCTCCCACCTCAGCCTCTGGAGCAGCTAGGACTATAGGCTCATGCCACCATGCCTGGCTAACTTTGTTTATTTTTTTGTAGAGATGAGGTCTCACTAGGTTGCCTGTTTGGTCTTGAACTCCTGGGCTCAAGTGATCCTCCTGCCTCAGCCTCCCAAAGTGTGGGGATTACAGGTGTGAGCCACCAAGCCCAGCTTGAAATAGCTATCTTTAATTTCCACCTTACCAGTTATCCCTCTAAACTATCCCTCTAAACCACCCAAAACTGACATATTAATTTTTACCAGGTGTATTAGTCTGTTTTCATGCTGCTGATAAAGACATACCCAAGACTGGGCAATTTACAAAAGAAAGATGTTTAATTGGACTCACAGTTCCACATGGCTGGGGCGGCCTCACAATCACGGCAGAAGACAAGAAGGAGCAAGTCACATCTTACATCAATGGTGGCAGGCAAAGAGAGAGCTTCTACCGAGAAACTTCCATTTTTAAAATCATCAGATCTCATAAGACCCATTCACTATCACAGGAACAGCATGGGAAAGACCCGCCCCTGTGATTCAATCATCTCCCACCAGGTCCCTCCCACAACACATAGGAATTTTGAGCTACAAGATGAGATTTGGGTGGGGACACAGAGTCAAACCATATCATTTCACTCCTGACCTCTCCCAAATCTCATATCTTCACATTTCAAAACCAATCATGCCTTCCCAACAGTTGCCCAAAGTCTTAACTCATTTCAGTATTAACTCAAAAGTCCACAGGCCAACATCTCTACTGAGACTAGGCAAGTCCCTTTCACCTATGAGCCTGTAAAATCAAAAGAAGTTTAGTTACTTCCTAGATACAATGGGAGTATAGGCATTAGGTAAATACAGCCATTCCAAATGGGATAAATCGGCCAAAACAAAGGGGCTACAGGTCCCATGGAAGTCTAAAATCCAGCAGGGCAGTCAAATCTTAAATTTCCAAAATGATCTCCTTTGACTCCATGTCTCACATCCCGGTCACGTTGATGCAACAGGTGGGTTCCCATGGTCTTGGACAGCTCTGCCCCTGTGGCTTTGCAGGGTACAGCCTCCCTCCCAGCTGTTTTTATGGGCTAACGTTGAGTGTCTGCAGCTTTTCCAGGTGCACAGTGCAAGCTGTCAGTGGATTTACCATTCTGGGGTCTGGAGGACAGTGGCCCTCTACTCACAGCTCTACTAGGCGGTGCCTCAGTAAGGACTCTGTGTGGGGGCTCTAACCCCATGTTTCCCTTCCACACTGCCCTAGCAGAGGTTCTCTATGAGGGCCCTGCCGCTGCAGCAAGCTTCTGCCTGAACATCCAGGTGTTTCCATACATCCTCTGAAATCTAGGTGGAGGTTCCCAAAGCCCAATTCTTGACTTCTGTGTACTTGTACTGTGTACTTTTTTTTTTTGAGACAGAGTCTCACTCTGTCGCCCAGGCTGGAGTGCAGTGGCACGATCTTGGCTCACTGCAAGCTCCGCCTCCCGGGTTCACACCATTCTCCTGCCTCAGCCTCACAAGGAAGCTGCCAAGGTTTGGGGCTGGCACCCTCTGAAGCCATGGCCCAAGCTCTACATTGGCCCCTTTCAGCCATGGCTGGAGTGGCTGGGATGCAGAGCACCAAGTCCCTAGGCTGCACAGAGCAGGGGAACCCTGGGCCTGGCCCACAAAACCACTTTTTCCTCCTGGGCCTCTGAGCCTGTGATGGGAGGGGCTGCTGTGAAGACCTCTGACATGCCCTGGAGACATTTTCCCCATTGTCTTGGGGATTAACATTTGGCTCCTCGTTACTTACACAAATATCTGCAGTCAGCTTGAATTTCTCCTCAGAAAATGGGATTTTCTTTTCTATCACATTGTCAGGCTGCAAATTTTCTAAACTTTTATGCTCTGCTTCCCTTATAAAACCGAATGCCTTTAACAGCACCCAAGTCACCTCTTGAATGCTTTGCTGCTTAGAAATTTCTTCTGCCAGATACCCTAAAACATCTCTCTCAAGTTCAAAGCTCCATGAATCTCTAGGGCAGGGACAAAATGCCACCAGTCTCTGCTAAAACATAACAACGGTCACCTTTACTACAGTTCCCAACAAGCTCTTCATCTCAGTCTGAGACCACCTCAGCCTGAATTTATTGCCCATATCATTATCAGCATTTTGGTCAAAGCCATTCAACAAGTCTCTAGGAAGTTCCAAACTTACCCACATTTTCCTGTCTTCTTCTGAGCACTCCAGACTGTTCCAACTCCTGCCTGTTGCCCAGTTCCAAAGTCACTTCCACATTTTCGGATATCTACAACAGCGCCCCACTCTACTGGTACCAATTTACTGTATTGGTTCATTTTCACGATGCTGATAAATACATACCTGAGACCGGGCAA